GCATCTCACCCCCTTGGCTCTGTACCGGGTCCTGCCATCACCCCTGGGCTGGGGGTACCCGGTCCCTGGGATCCCCTCCGTGCCCTCTCCAGGGGACTAGGGAGCACGTCTGGGCTGAGGGATGCTGAAAGCAAAGAGCAGCGGGAGCTGCCCACGTGCGTGCCCTCCTTCGGTCCTGCTGGGGAGGGCGAGGACTGGCACACGGCGCTGGCACGGCTCAGCACCACGAAGGATGTGGGGCCGCGGCTCCACTGGGACCTGGGCCAGGCGGGCAAGGGAAGGAGCGTTTGGGGATCCTGGAGCAGCGCAGGTGTGAGCGAGCCCAGCAGGAGCTGGCCCGAGAGATCGCCTGGGCCACCAGCCAACCCTGGTGAGGCAGCCAGAAAAGCACCAGGGTTTTTCAGAGGCACAGGGAGCTCCTCCGAAGCAGCAGGGCCCGAGCCACGCGGCGTGGCCCTGCACCAAAGCAGCCAGGCTCCTGCCAGATCAGGGACGACCGACAGCATCCAAGGCCAGGCCCTGGCTCCCTTCCCTAAGCAGCCCCAGGCACGCGGCAGCTCTCCAGAACAGACTTCAGAGGCTCTGGGCACAGATTTTTACTACACGGCACACCAACCCTACCGAGACCCCCGGGAGCTCAGCCCAAGCACAAGGGAGCTCCTCTGCCAGACGTGCGGCTGCCGGAGCGTTCACCCGAGGCCGGAGGCGATGCTGTGGCACGGCCGGAGAGCAGCAGCAACCGCCCGCAGAACAAAGCGCCCGCCTGCCACGGTCCGAAAAGCTTTCCCAAACCCTTTGTGAGGGGCCAAGAAACAGGCGAAGGATCCCTGCGTCGTTCACCACGGCACCAAGAGGGGACGGTGCTCTGGCAGCGCAGCACAGAGAGCAGTGCCAGGAGGCTCTGCCAGCACGGGGGGAGGAGGAGGAGGTGGCAGCCCTTCAGCCGCACTCAGGCACCACTGGCCCGTGCCAGCGGCCTCACCGCTTCCAGCAGATGCACAGCAGCAACCCGGGGCTTGCTGCGTCCCTTTCCTGCCTCATTCGCGGGCTCAGGAGGTCAGGGAGCACCAACGGACCAAGCCACGGAGCCACCCAGCACACACCACCCCAGGTCCCCTGGGGACACCGGCTTACAGACCAGCATCAAGCACATCAGGCTCAAACATTTCCTACACGGAGCTTTTTTTGGTCTACAAAATGCTCAGAACAGAAGTTTCCATGACCGAACAATTCCCATGGCTGCCTGCAGGCAGCCAAAAAAGCCCTAGGAAGGCTCCAGCCCAGCGTGCAGCAGACAGGAGCAGGAGTGGGCTGGCTCGGGGACCGCAGGCTCAGCCCCCTGCAAGCTCCAGCTTCCCTCCCGCCATGAAAAGCGTCACGGGGAAGGAACAGCCCATTCAAGCCAAGAGCATCACCGAAAGGCAGCGTTAGCTGTCTGTCTGCAAGGACCTGGCGACACGCAGGCTGCCCCAAAGCCTCAAGGGGACACCGCTGCACCCGGCTGTCCCTCCCTGCCGCCTCCTCTCACCTGCACAGCTGTCCTGGGGGGCAGCCCCAAGGGACAAGGCTGCTACTCACCTTCTTGTGTTTTTTGGCCATCCACTTGTCCCAGTTGTTGAGCATATCCAGCCACTTGGACTCCCGCTGCCGTAGCACCTCCAA